CACATCCCTCTAAATCTTGATTAATATTAATTTTTTATTCTTATACTGTATTTTTATTTCGACAAATATGTAAAATAAAAATTCGTTTTATCGTTTTAATATTGTTTTCCTGTTACAATATAAAAAAATATACCTATTATAATAATTATTAATAAAAAATATAATTCAAAATAAAAAATACATAAAGAGTTTGCAAAATAAACAAATATTGACTTTTTCATTAAACGAAATTTTAATAATTATTGTTTTGTACATTTTATTATAATGTTTATAATTTTATTATTATTTCGTCTTAAGATAGTTTTATAAAGCTACACAGAAAAAATTAATATTAAATCTAATACATTTTAATTGCATTAAAATTTCCATTTTAACGCACAATCTTTTTTTCATATATATAAGTAACAACATATAATCTTACAAAAACTGAATAATCTTATTAAAATTTTAATAATTTTTTAATACTATAATAATTACAAAAAGAATATATTATAATAACTTTTTAAATAATATTTTTTATTTTAATAAAATCATATAAAATCATATAAAAATAAAATATATTTGCTCTATCTTCATGCATATAATTTTTCATATTTATTAATAAAAAGATTATTTTAATATAAAATATTTATCTCAATTTTAATATTATTATATTTATATTGGTATTTTTTAAATACATCAAATTCATTACAAAAACTTTTAATAATTTAATTTAATATAGACAGTTATTTCTAAAAATAAAATCGAGTAAAAAATAAATAATCTAAAATTGCGATACTAGAAGATTATAATTCTCTTTAAAGATAGTGTTTTACTTTCCAACAAATATTCTTTTTTTCTCACTTCAAGAAAATTATTATGAGAATATCTTTTTAGTAGATTTATTAGATTATAAAATTTCTTCATATATAATTTTTTTAAATTAATATTTTTTTTCTCATATTAAAGATACAATTTTGAAATTTTCTAACATTTTATTAATTACTCTCTTTATTCTGGAACATTAAAATCAGAAAATTTAAAAATCTTCTTTTTGATAAAATATATATTTAAAAAATAGAAACAATTAAAAACAATGCCTGATATTTTTAGTTAACGCTATATAATTTTATTTCAATATTTATTTGTCAAAGACATTCTCAAAACAAGAAGTCTTTTTTTCTGTATAGAAATGTAATATTTTGTTAAATTGATATAAAAGTATTAATATAATAAACATGCAAGAAATTTATAAACATGCAAGAAATGTATTCTCAAAAATATCATTCCAGATAGAAATCAGACTTTTCTGTTCGAAAAGAATATCTTACCTATTCAACCATTAAGATTTGTATTTTTATATTTCTCGCAACAAATAATACACAACAAATAAAACACAATAAAATCATTTTTTTGTAAAATAACTCTTTAATAAATAGCAACGGATAAGTTTATTTAAAAATATGTTACATTCGCTTTGCACACAACACAGTTTTGCAGTTATGTATAATTTCTTTCTAAATACTTTTCAAAATGGATAAATTAAAAGAACATTATTTTTTCTAATGCTGAAAACATATTTAACAAACGCGATATGTGTTATAAAATACAAACGAGAATGTAATCAGACAAATTATTCCAAATGCAGCCATTTTATGAAACATTATAGAAGCAAGTCACAAATCAAATAACAATTACATAAAATTATTTAGAATTATTTTATTAATTTTACTCACTTAACTAACTGTCGGAACGAATTAACTAAACACTAATTGGAGAATTATTTACAAATTAAACGTTTTTGAGAAATCGAATTCTATAAAGTCGTTTTTAATTGGCACACATGGAATATTCAGAACGAAATTCCTCAAAATCCAATGTTGCCTGAATATTAGGCGAGTCTGTATATCGATTATCTCAAAAAAATAAGTTGAAAAACGACGAAATATTAATGAGAAACGTTCGCCGAATTCGACCCGGGCGACGCGGTAACCTAACCTCAACGGCACGCTCGGGCGCGCGAAAAGCATGCACTTTCGCGTTCTGTCGCATATCCGGATTAGCCATAGTGTCTTACCTCGTTTCGAGTATCCATCCTCTTGTCCACAATCTGTACAAAACATTAAAAATAGCACGAGTCGTGGGGTTTGGAGCTCCTGGTGATGGTGCTCGGCGATGATCACAGGTTCTTCGACGCCACGCGATATTTCTACTGTTCCGTAATGGCGACGTAACGCTATTTCGCACGATCGCGTAGCACAACGACTATACGAAAATAATGAAATTGCTGTCGATCGTACTTCGTCTCGCGGACACTTAAAATAAAATAAAAAAAACACTTCGAGCGGATTACGAGACGCGCGTGTTCATTCCCCGGCGGTCACATGCAGTGTGAAACAGCGAACAAGAACGTTACCGTACGAGTGGTGGCACTGCGACGACCGACAAGCTTTTAAAGGCTCGTTTACAGAGGGAATTCGATAGCGTTGCCAAAATTCGACTTCTGATGATTGGTGGAACAACGGACACTTTTTCTCCCTCTCAAAAATCTAGTGACGTTTCTAGTCAATAGACATTCAACTTCGAAAAGTAGGCTTGTCTTGTGAATGATTGGCTACTACTTCACTCCCACTACTTTTTATTGAAATTTCTGTTATATGAAAAAAATGTTTCTTCTTTCAACCAAAATTTTCAACGTCGACAAAATATTATTAATAATGGACAATATTATATATGTTTGCGTGGTTGCGTGGTTGTAAAAAATTTTGAACAAATTGCGTGATCAAAGGAAGAGTAATTGAAGAGTATTGATGAGATTGATATAAATTTTGATCATTTATATAAATATTTTTATAATGCATTAAGAAGTTTGTTCACTTTGAAAATTTCAAAAAATTGATTTTTATTTTTACATTTTCTTAAAATTGGAAATTTTTAAAAATAGTAGAGATAATAAAACAAAATTTGATATGAATATTTCTAAGATTATCTGTGATATAGCGTGGAATTTTTTTGATATATTAAACCATTTGTTTAAAATAAATTTTTAAACTTCAATTTTTAAGTCTAAAAAAGAATTTTTTTTCAAATCAAACTTTTTTTCACAATTTTCCATCAAAAAAGAAAAATCCTACGTTACATTTTAGCTGTATTTATATTTTAGCTGTAATATTTATTTACAAAAATATTTTACTGTTTAACTTTAGACTACTTTTTTTTTGGAAACTTTCTATTCGTTCGATCCTGTTACAGCAGAAGAGCTTTGCGAAAATTGCTTCACAGTCTATATTTTTTGTTTAATATTTTAATTCTTTAAGGCAAACTTTCAGTTTAGATATTGTATAATATAAATTAAATAAAATAAAATTAATTTATGCAGCAGTTTATTTTTTTTTTTAATTTTTGTAATTTTGTTTATTTTTCCCTTGTCTAGATGGATATTGATATCATAGAGACACATAAGTAAAGACTACAAAAAATATAGTTATTTTTTTATTTATTTGTCTATCTAGCATACAAGCAGGTTTTTCTTGCATATAAGATATGGAAAAAAAATGGTTTTATTAAAATGGTTTTATTATAAAAAATGTTGTGGGATCAATACTCACATTTTATATCGCTATTGTTTATCTCTTGTATTCGTTCTGTGATAACAAGATTATTTCTTTTATAATTCAAAAATTAGACTCCGGGCAACATTTTATAAGAGAAAAAATTATCTCAGAATATAATCAATCATGTCAGAATATAATCAATCTTTTCAAAGACCTAAAGTTGCTTCCAATCCGTATATTTCACAGAAACTTAACAGAAATAATACACGCACAAAACACAAAAGGTTTTAGAAAACATTCGGAAAGTTTTCATAAAAGGACACAACATAAAGTGAAGCATACTTGAAATATTTTGTTGAAAAAGGTTTTAATTTTGAAAGGTTTCAATTTTCATTGAATTTTTTGTTAGAAAGCTGTTCTTAATAATTATATTTCAATAATATCTCTAAAATTTTTGTTATACGACACAAAAGTTTCAAAAAGTTTTCAGATACCTTTCAAAAACATTTCAACCTTCTGAAAGTTTTTTGAAACTTTCTATTGTGTATACACAATAGAATAGTGTATGGTTCTACAAACTTTCTAACATACTTCGACACTGTGTAAGAAAATTATAATTGAAATATTTTTTTGGAAAGTTTCATATTTTATTGACAGTCTTTTCTGAAAGCTTTTCGAAATTTTTCGGTGCTATGTGGGTAATAAAAAAAGAGGAAAAGGTAAAAGCGTATCTGAGAAGTAAATTATTTTTAAATATGATTTGTTGATATATTATTTTCTCGGATATTTTGAATCGATAAACTGTGATTATCTTAAATATTTTATCAAGTGATATAAAAAAATGTCTCGTTCCAAATCATATGGAAATATTCTAAAGCAAAATCTCAATATATAAATTTTTTATTTAAGAAATATTTGTTATTCTTATTAATGTATATCTGTTTTTGATACAAGAATCTAAGCAGTTTATCTCTGTTAAATTGAATAGAACTATTGAAAATACCTTCAGTCTTCATGACAATATCTTAGGAGGTTTTAGAGATAAGAAAAATATTATGAAAAGATTGTTTTTCTTATTCTTAGATAAAATAAAATAGATTTTATTTCTTATAGTTTCTAAGATGAGGAATCCAATGATGTTAATTAAAATTATGTAACATGATAGAAACACGTAGAAAATTGTGTTCAAATCGAAAAATCATGTGGAATAGCAATTATTCTCGAGATAGATTACTAAGATTTATGTATCATGTATGATATATGATATGTATGAGTATTAGTATGATGATATCAAATTTTGACAAAAAAATGTCGATTATTTTATAAAAATGCTATTTGATAATATAAATATTAAAACTATTAGATGAAACAAAAAGTTTTTATGTGCTCTGCTGACGTGCAAGCTATAATAATGTTAATATTGAAGATTGAAATTAATAGAGAAATTATTCTGAAATGAAATTTTACTTAAAAATATAATATACTTAAGAAGTGGTGCATTCAGATAAGGATGTATTTTCTTCGACAAGAAGTCTTCGAGTCTTTGACAAGAAAAAACTAATTTGTATGATAGATTTTTACTCAAATTAATAGGTGAAATTTTTAAAATAATAACTAATTAAAATAATAACTAATAAGTTTTGATATTAAATATGATGATTTGTGTAATCTTTTAAGAAAGAAAATAGCATGAGAACAGAAACATCAATATGTTAATATATGACATAATGGTTTATTTGAGTTAGATTAAACTTTATAACTCATAAAATGAAAATTTCTCGTGATATTTGTTTAGGCATTATTTGTTTAGAAAAAAAATTTTTAAGAAATTTTAAGAATATTAAAATATCTGGACATTTTAAAGATAAGATGTAGAAAAAAAGTAATAAATTCTGAATTTTGACACGTAATCGCTCAAGAATTTTTCTCAATCCCATAGTCCACTCGAATATATTCGTGTAAGCATATGATTTTTGCTATTAAATATAATATTTTTATAAAGTATTTCATAATTTTTATGTCAACATCAAACAGCAAACGAGAAATGATTGGAAAATATTGAAAATTATTCATTGAAGCCATATCGAATAAGGTTTTTGGATTTCTTGAATCTATTTTCTATCCGTAATCTATTTGAATTATTAATTACAGCTTGGCTATTTACTTTTTGTATCTCATCCAATGTCTAGAAATGAAACGTGTGACCAATCCATTTGAATCCGTAAATAGATTACCTATTTGCTTTTTGTATCTCACCTTTTGTATCCCAATGAATACCAAAGTGAAACTTGCTATCCGTTCAATTCATAATTGTGAATTGGCCATTTGCTTTTATTATCCATTCAAGTCTACGAGTTTCGTATATAACTACAGACATAGGGAATGGATTCATATTTTCATTTTTGAATCTACCTGAATTCACCTGAATCTATCAGAATCCACATTATTGTAATTAGACGTATAGAAAACGGATTCAGTGCGTTCAATATTTATAAAATTAAATATATTTATAAAATTAAAATAAAAATATTTATAAAATTAAATATTTTTTTCACGGATTTGAAAACTTGATTCATACAAATTTATTCAATCCAATTTGTTCTCGTTTGCTGGGATGTAACATGTTGCTACATTGTACATATAGTATTATGATTGGTCTTGCGAAAGATTGCGACGTCATGCATTTTCCCAATTTAAACTCTATTTTTTTTACGTACTTTCGTCATATGATATAATTTTAACTAGTGCTATCTAGCAATATCTAGAAATTTCTAGCAATAGAAAGAAAGATATAAAGATAGGTGAATGGAATACACATACAAAAAAGAGTTGTGTATCTAGCATTCGCTACCTGCGTTATATTTATTTAGTATCGACTACCTGCATACACAATGGAGCATATGGTCTGTACACAATGGAGCAAATATTAAACACAGAAATAAATGTAAAATTTTGGAAATCAAAAACATTTGGCATATTGATTATAAAATTAAAATATTTTTAATATATTTAAAAATTAAAAGATTTAATTGACACATTGCTTTTGTTCGTTCTTGATCTATTATGTTATGATAAGTTCTTCTATGATATTAAAAGAATTATTTCTATTATATTAAATATTTTTGTTTAATTTTTATTTTATGATGCTTTTATGTATTATATATAAAATATTATTAAAAGAAATTTATAATAAAATAAATTTAAATGTTCAAATTGCTTTTCATGATTTTCTTCATCTATCTTTCGGTTCGATCGCGTTTTCAGTCTAACATTTCTGCTTTACAGTATAAATGTTTATGAGAAAATTCTACAATTTGGCAATTGAATATATGATATAAGCAAATACAAATGGTAATTATTTAAATTGTTATCAGCAATAGGAAAATTTATAGTGACAATCGATAATAATGATGCACTTTATTATCTTTAGACTACTCGGACTCAATCGATAAAAACGAAAATATAACATTTTCGTTAGTAATAAAATGTATTTAGAACATTTACACGACATATTTATCATATTCTCAAAATATGCTCAGAATATTCATGCGATATATCTTTTGATGCGTATTCTTAAAATATAGGTATGGACAAGATTTTTTATTGATCTAGCGTCGGTAAGTTGCATGAGTGTACACCATACACACACACACACACACACACACACACACACACACACACACACACACACACACACACACACACACACACACACACACACACACACGCAACGCGTGCGCGTCATGCAAACACGTTAGATTTTTTTAATTTAAAAAATTATTTTTTACAATTGTTATGTTTTATACGTTAACATTTGAATATATATGTTACATAAATACAAGATATTTATATAATGTTTAA